GACGTGGGGACTCGATCCCAGGACCCTGGGACCATGACCTGAGCCAAAGGCAGACGCTTAACTGACTGAGCTACCCAGGCGCCCCAATAAACTTTATTTTTAAGAGTGATTCTAGGTTTGCATCAAAATTGAGTGAAGGTACACAGATTTCCCATACGCCCCTGCCCCCGTACATGCATAGCTCCCCCATGGTTAGCAAACCCCCCCCCACCCCGCCCTGAGTGGTACATTTGTAACAATTGATAAATCCATCAGTTTGATAACAAATCGGTAAACCACTGACACATCACCATCACTCAGAGTCTGCACTTTACATTGGAGTTGACTTTTGGTGTTGCACAGTCTGTGGGTTTGGACAAATGTATAATGACATGTATCTATTGTCATTATAGTCTCGTATAGGCTAGTTTCACTGCCCTAAAGGTCCTCTGAGCCCCACCTGTGTATCCCTCCCTCCCCCTCAACCCCTGACAACCATTGGTCTTTTTTTTTACTTTCCTAGTTTTGCCTTTTCCAGAAGGTCTGTGCCTTTTGAAAATGTGAAACAAAGCAATATGGGAGAAGACTGGTTTTCTTTTTCTTGTCCGCTTCCTCTTCTTTTCTTGCTTGATTTTCTTTCTTTCTTTCTGGTCTTAGGACACATTTTTGCTTACCATTCATTGTGTAAGTTTTGAATAAATGACACAATGAATGGCTGTAGCGTTTACGTGAGGGCCACTACTGAGCAAAGGCCTTTCATTCACCAACATTTATTGAGCAACTACTGTGTACCAGTATAAATGACAGGGTCCCTGCTCTCAAGAAGTTCCACCTAGGGGCGCCTGGGTGGCTCATCGGTTAAGCATCTGCCTTCGGCTCAGGTCCTGACCCAGTCCTGCGTTGGACTCCCTGCTCAGTGGGGAGTCTGCTTCTCCCTCTCCCTCTGCCCTTGTGCTGGTGCTCTCTCTCTCTCTCTCTGACAAATAAAATCTTAAAAAAAAAGTTTCATCTAAATGGGGATAGGCATATCAACAATAGAGTAAATGATCAACAAATACAGTGTTATAACTATCATGGAAGTCTTTCAGAGTTCAGCTGGGAGCACAAAATAGGGACAGGTTTTCAGTTTGAGTCCTAGAAGCTTTATGGAGAAGATCATTCTTGAGCTGAGTCTTGAAAGATGGAAAGGAGCTTTATGAGACTCTTCCCATGAACAGCTTACACCCTTCTCTTTGTATACACCAGCAAGAACACTTAACACCAGAAGAGTCAAACCCAGCAGTAAAAGCTAGGCTACTTTTGCAGAAGCTCTCCTCTGTTCCCCGCCAGGAAGGGGAAGCCTTTAGCAGCCTGAAAGCCTTCTTTAGTCTTCTGAGACATATTATCAGACTGTTACTGTTCTGTATCGAGATAGGAGTTACCGTATCTGAAAGCGTGCATTAGAAACTTGAGGTTAAAGTAGGCAAGGATTCTACCTGGAAAGATCAGCTGGGGCTGGAGAGCATGGGAACCAGAGTCCTAGGTGCAGGGTAATGGGCCCAGGGGTCAGAGCCAGCAAGAGGGGCTAGTGTAGCAGGTTAGACTGATACCAGGACGGGAGGGGTATTTTCTCCTAGGCTACCTTCATATAGCCTACAGCTTACACGTGACCTAACTTACGAGAGTCAGACCGCAGCAGAAAACAGTGTTTCTGAGATAGAACAGAGGTATGAGAGCTGAGAAGACACTTCACACCCACTAGGATAGGTACCTTAAAAACAAAAACAAAGAAAAGATGGAAAATAGCTATTATTGGCAAGGGTGTGGAGAAATTGGAATCTTCGTACATTTCTAATGATAATGTAAAATGGTTCAGCTACTGTGGAGAACAGTGTGGTTGTTCATAGAACAACTCAGAAAGTTAAACATAGAGTTACCATATAGCCCAGAAACGTACCCAAGGAATTGAAAACAAGCACTCAAGTCCATGTACCCATATTCAGAGCAGCGGTGTTCACAGTGGTCAGAAGCTACAAACAACCCAAATGTCTATCGGTGGACAAATGGCTAAGTAAGTGGTAGTATATAACTACAATGGACTGTTAGCCAGCCGCAAAAAGGAATGAAGTTCTTACACGTGCCACAACATGGGTGAACCTGGAAAGCATGCTAAGTGAAAGAAGATAGACGTAAAAGGTTACCTATTGTATGATTCCATTTATATGAAATATCCAGAATAGATACATCCACAGAGAAAGAAGACAGATGGGTGGCTGGCAGAGGCTGGAGGAAGTGAGAAATGGGGAGGGACTGCTAGTGCGTATAGGGTTTCTTTTGGGGTAATGTTAATGTTCTAAAATTAATTGTGCTGTTGGTTGCACAACCTTGTAAATATGATAAGACCATTGAATTATACTTTTTGAATTTTCATTTTTAATTTTTTAAGATTTATTTATTTATTTGGAGAGAGGGAGAGAGCATGAGCAGGGGGAGGGGCAGAGGAAGAGGGAGAAGCAGACTTCCCGCTGAGCAGGGAGCCCAATGTGGCCTGATCCCAGGACCCTGGGACCATGACCTGAGCAGAAGGCAGATGCTTAACTAATTGAGCCACCCAAGTGCCCCTATTTTAATTTTTTTTAAAAAAAGATTTATTTATTTTAGAAACGGAGAACGCACAAGCGTGGGGAGAGGCAGAGGGAGAGAGAGAATCTCAAGCAGACTCCATGCTGAGTGTGGAGCCTGAGGCGGGGCTTGATCCCAGGACCCTGAGATCATGACCTGAGCCGAAACCAAGCATTGGATGCCTAACCATCTGAGCCACCCAGGCGCCCCTGAATTGCACATTTTATTTTATTTTTAATTTAAAAAATTTTTTTGGATTCAGAACAAGGTTTATTTGTCTGCAAACCTATGGTCTTCCTACATGAATTGCACATTTTAAAAAGAGTGAATTTTAGGGTATATGAATTATATCTCAATGATAATAAAACATGTAGAGCTTGATTTTTTTGTAACTCTTAGATTTCCATTTAGAGAACTCCTTATAAAATGTAGGAAAGTAAAGTACCTTGGTCTCTTTTGCAAATTTCCACTCACTGTATGACCTTGTATAGGTCGGTTTTCTCAGGATGTGTTTTCTGATTTGTATTATGAAACAATTGAGCTAAAGGATCCTTTCAGGTGAACATTCCATGATTTTTGAGAGGAAACCCTTTGATTGATAAGTGTCCTGGTAAAAGGATAAAAGACAGGAAGTCTGTTCCTTCCACTGCTGTCTGTATCCTGTACTTTTAGGAATCGGTCCTTGGCCCTTGCCTTATCAAGTGACCCTTGGCAATTCAGTTCTCCTACCTAGATTTCGGTTTCTCTGTTTGTAAGATGGGCTTGGTCATTAAGGCTCTTACTGGCTCCCTCCTTCAAGGACTCTGATAGAACTGGGTGTTCTCCTGGGAGCTAAGGTTTTTGGAATCCAGCAGCTGTCCTGATGGCAAAACTGTTTTAATACTTTCCTACTGATGGCTTGTTAAAGAAAATTTTTGAAAAATTGCCAGATGGAATCTGAGGAAAATGCTAGGAAGCTCTTTGCCAGGAGACTTCTGCAAGGATGGAGCCGTGCGTGGTGGGTACCTGAAAAGAATCCCTTGATCTGTGTCCCTCCGGCTCTGTTTTCCCATCTGAGCATGGGCTAAAATCCCTACTTCAGTGCTGTTCCCTGCCCAACCCCATGCAGGACTTAGCGTGATGGCCGGTGGTTGTGCCCCGAGGGTGAGTTCTTAAGGCTGTGGTTCTTTCGGGCTCACCAGGAGGCAGGTAGTAGATAAGCACCCCAGAGAACCGGGGCCAGGTACAGCTACCTTGCCCAGCCTTAATGAAATTCCTGCCATCAGTCGACGCTTGAGAAATCTCAAATCAGAGGTTCGTTGTGCAGTAGCCGGGAAGGTCTGCTGAGTGATCAGGGCCCCTCTGTCCCCAGCAGCCTCCGAGCTTGGAAAGGGGGAAGACGGATCAGACTGGCCCAGCACAGAGCGCCTCAGGGCCCATTTTCTGGCAGTAGAAGGCACCTCTGTCCTCCCACCGTGGCCACAGAGCAGCACGTCGCCTTTTCAGGCTCCTCCACTGGCGGAGCTGGCCTAGGCTTGCATGATCCATCCGGGCCCCCCTAGCAGTGCTACGGTCAGGGGTTAGGTGTGCTCCGACACCCGGGGTCCCCAGGCAGCTTGCAGTGGAGGGCTCCGCGGATGCCTCTCTCTGGCAGCACGGCCTTCTCTGGGGGGTTTTTCCTCCTCTGCAGGGAATTTCTCAGAAATGGAGGCTCAGGAGATGAGGTGAATTTTTAGAGGTCATTCAGCTCTTAAATGGCAGAGCCATGGCTCAGACCCGATCTGTGGCTTATATTTCAGTGTTTTTGGTACTGTGTTGTCCCATTCTCCACTTCTGGTAGAGCAAGCAAGATAGAATATAAAGAATTCCATTTGAAATCAAGCAAACTGGCTCTGTCATTCAGTGGCTTTGTGACCTTGGGTACATTCGTAAAGTTCCCTATTTCCTTATTTCCCCTAAATAAATGGTAGCTACTGTTTTTAGTGTGTGCCTACTGTGGTTAATCCTGGGCCAGTGTAGCCTCTGAGCTTTTAGCAGGGGTATTGAGAAGGGTGTGGAGCGGGGCCTGCAGAGTAGTTGTTGGGGTGGTGGGGAGGCTGTGGAGAGGAAGGGCAAGCCTACACCTTGTCTTCCTTCCTCAGCAGCTCAGATAATGGGGAGAAGTCCCCTGGAAGCGGGAGTAGCTCCTCTCCAGCAAAGCTTGTTTTTCTTCTCTGTCAGCTCTATCCTTACCTTACCCTCTTTTTCTTTTGTTTTTCAACTCATTTTTCAAGCCTTCTCTAGGATGCCTTTCCAGCTTTTTCCCGGGCATGTTCAACCCTTCCCTCTTACTTTCCTCTGGGATCCTATAACCCTTTGTACCTGCCTTTTTTTTTTTTTTTTTTAAATAACAATCTGTTTTCCTGTTACCCTTTAAACGGGGAACTCCTTGAGGGTAGAAACAGCTTTGTTCATCTGTCGTCATAACGCAGCGTATGGCCCAGCAATGAGCAGGTGTCGGGAAATGTATGCTAGAAGTTTCCCAGAAGGAGGCTGGGCCTCTTCAGAGCTATAAGACAGGGGAGATGGGGGAAGAGTCTGGCCCAGTTTGGTAGCGGGGAGAGTACCATGGAGTGTCTTGTGCGGACTGGTGAGTCAGTGAGAGCACTGTTTGGGCTGTAACCAGAAGCAGGAGGAATAAGTCCTCCAGGTTAACCACACGCCTCAGCACCGACGGCTGTGCAGATGACCAAAGAAATTCCTAGCGCCTATGGCAGTGGCAGTGAGGGGCAGGGGTGTCGTGGGCACTGGAGAAGGTGGCGAGAATAGATTGGGAGAGGGGATTCTTCTAGAAAGTGATAATGATTGGAGGCTTGCTTTCTCAATGCTCACTGTACCCTGAAAATCCTCACCATTACTCCTGCCTCTGTTAACATGGTAGCATCTCATTGTTATACCCTCCTCCCTTCCTCAGGCCTGATTGTATTAACAGTTGACCGCATTTTGCTGAAGTCTATTTGCAGCACTCGGGCTGGGATTTCTGCCACCCTCTGGCTCCCCAGGTCCTAGCCAGCTTCCCTGGCTTAGCTCTGTTCACCTAGCCAGCCACAGCTGCTCTCAGGAAAGCTCCGAGGTCCGTCTGCCCTGGCCGTGCTCGCTGGGTATGGGGTGGGTTCTGAGAGCGGAGCTTGTGGAGGGGCTCTCAGGCCAGCTAGTTGTACTCGCCTTGTCCTTTCACACGGACTTTGTATTGTACCCCCTTTCCTAGTAAAACCTGCCTGCCTTCTTCCCTTTTTCTTTCCTTTCCACCTGCGCTGAGTACCTGCTCTGGTTAGGCCCTGTCCTAAGTACGGGGCCATAGAGAGAAATAAGCCTTGTGCCCTGGCCCTGAGGAACTCACAGACTATCAGAAGGCAACCAGCATGAGAGTTGAAAAACACACAGGGAGTCCCTGAGATAGCAGTAGATAACCCATGTTTACCTGTCCAAAGAGTGGGGTGGTTAGGGAATCCTAGTCAGAGGAGAAGGAATGGAAACATCGCTGTAGACTTGTAGTGGGCTGGGCAGGTGGTAGGAAGTGAAGAATGGGAATGGGGTTAGGATGGAGAGAAGTACATCATTAGTAAGGCACGGACTAGATTCTTCATTTCCCCTCTTTTTCTGATATTTTGGTTTATAGATTCTGTGTTAGGGTTCTCCAGAGAAACATAACCTGGATGGATGGATGGATGGATGGACAGACAGATAGACAGAAAGATATGAGGTTTATTATAGGAATTGACTCACGTGATGATGGAGGCCTAGAAGTTCCATGATCTGCCGTCTGCACCCAGAGAGCCAGGAAAGCCAGTGGTACTGTTCAGTCTGAGTTCAAGGCCTGCGAATCAGGGGACAGCTGCTGTAAGTCCCAGTCTGAGTCCAAAGACCCAACAAGCAGGACTGCTGATATAAGACGGCAGAAGATGGATGTCTCAGCTCAAGCTGAGAGAGCAAATTCATCCTTCCTCCGCCTTCTGGTTCTATTCAGGCTGTCAGTGGCCTGAGGGTGATTTAATGAAGACAGTCTTCTTCACTCAGTCTACCGACTGAAATACTAATCTGTTATGAAGTCAACCTCACAGACACACCCAGAAAGCTCTCTTGGCATCCCTTAGCCCAGTTGAGTTGACACATAAAATTAACATCACAGATTCCCTTAGGATTGTGGGGTTCCATCCAGCCCTTGTACCGAAGGGACTTGATAATTCTCACCTCTTCTTCCAGCTTTAAACTTCTCCTCTTCTTTAAACTCCACATCCACATTCTTGATTACCTACTGGAAATGTCCATCTGAAGATTTCCAGAACACCTCAAAGCACTCTCATTCATAACTGTGTGCTTGATCTCGTTAGTAATTGTGTGACAATGCATTTTAGAGCTGAGGAAACAGGGATCCGGATGAGGCAGAAGCAAGCAGAGAAGCCAGACTCCCTAAGACTCAGTGCAGGATGCTTCTTTCGATGGCATAAGAATCCGTCTACTGAGGAGCCCCTTGCCCTTACCAGGCCCTGGGATCCTATCTGTGCTACTCCCCCATCCTCAACCTGAGGGTAACCTGCTGCCCTGACTCCCACATCTGCAGCTCCTCTGAGCCCACCGCTGCTCCATCCCAGCTTGGGAACAATGCAGGCAGGGGCCGCGGGAGCAGCCCTGCTGTCCTCATGGCGTCTCTTCAGGTCTCCTGTGCCGTGGCGCAGAGCCCAGCTCTGATAGACTGGGAACAATGGCAGGCTCCAGGAGTGGCCCTCTTCTGCTTGGCTCAGTTCTCAGGACATGGCTTTCGTACTTACCTTCTGGTGGTGTTCCTTGTTCGGCTTTTCAGTTTCGCTCTGAACCCCCGCCACCAGCACTGTGCCACATTGCCGCCAGGTGTTCTCCGGAGGTGGATCTGCGCCTCTGTTCCTGGCACGTGCAGTATCTTATATATTCCATCCTCTCGATGTTCCTCCTGTCCTCTGGTCTCTGGATTGAGCCCACAGCCTAGAAATGCTCTTCCACAGATGGGCCTTGCAGACCTTTACCTGATCTGGGCTCTGCCTCTTGTACCTAGAATAGGCAAGTTGTCCAGGGGACCTGGCTCCTGCAGGAACTTCAGTCCCACACCCAGGCCTCAAGCTCTAGTGGTAATTGCTTTATACTCTTAGCAACCATCCCCTTCTCCCCGCTCTAGCGCTCTAGCATTGCTTATCCCGCCAGACAGAAGCCACTGCATGTGGGCACGTGGGCTCATCGGAGGCCAGGGGTAGCTGGGATGCCATGAGAAGGCACTCATTTTTAGGGAAGTATGATTTAATAAGCTTCCTGTACTGCTCTCGGGCCTCTCTTCCAAAGTAGGCAGAGAGCTTACTATACTAGTGTGTGGCAAGTGTGTGTCTAAGAAGAGCAACTAAGTCCTCTGGAGTGGGAAGGCTTCACACAGGAGGGGATGCGGTGGAGTCTGCAAGGCTGACCGTGCAGTGGGCAGTTGTCTCACTATGGCTTCCTCTTTGGCAGTGACCCGCCATAATCACCTCAAGGACTTCATGCTGGTGGTGTCTATAGTTATTGGTGTGGGCGGCTGCTGGTTTGCCTACATCCAGAACCGGTACTCAAAGGAGCACATGAAGAAGATGATGAAGGATCTAGAGGGGTTACACCGAGCTGAGCAGAGTCTGCATGACCTTCAGGAAAGGTAAGGCCCTTTCCCCATCCCCACAGCTGTGGTGCCTCCCGCTCTTGGGGGCCTCCTGTTTCCACCTGGGTTGTGGGCCATCTCGCCCCTGACACACGCTGACGGGGCTGGGCTGTGCCACACTTCCAGAACTGCTTTGTAGGTTCCTGCCGTTGCTGTTGCACAGGCAAATACCCCTCCCCAGGGCAGGAGCTTACTTCTGTCAGAGATCTTGAGCTTCCACGGTTGGATGGCTTGCCCATTCTATCCTCCTTCTGGCATCTGAACTGTTATCCTTCCTGTAATTAACTGTTCCTCACTGTTCCCTAAAGAAATCTCACAAATCTGTCTTCCTGATACTTGTACTTCTTTCTTTCTTTCTTTTTTTAAAAGATTTTATTTATTTATTTGACAGAGAGGGAACACAAGCAGGGGGAGCAGGAGAGGGAGAAGCAGGCTTCCCGTGGAGCAGGGAGCCCGTCATGGGGCTCGATCCCAGGACCCTGGGATCACGACCTGAGCCGAAGGCAGACGCTTAACGACTGAGCCACCCAGGCGCCCCTGTAGTTCTTTCTTGTATGGAATCTAAATCTCATAAGTACTCACTTGTTATGTGACTTTGGGTAAATCCCCTTCCTTTTCCGGGACTGAGTTCCTCATCAGTAATATGAAGGGGTTGAACCAGGAGAACACTAATGGCCTTCTAGCCCTGAGAGTCGATTCTGTTTAAACAAAACATGACTTAAAGACTGTTGTAGGAGATCTAGCTGTGAAAAGAAGGTGCCAGTCAGTCAGTCAGTTAGCCCAAGTACATTCTGACATCTAGGAACCAGGTCTGTGCTGGGAATTGTAAGGAATTCACTGCTCCTGGGGCAACAAAGCTCACGCACAGACGAAGGAGCAGTGAGCACACACTTAGTGCAGTGACTTGTGCCCACTGATGGCATGAGGACTCTAAGAACAGGAAGGCAGGAGATGAGTGGATGTGGACTCCAGAAGGCAACCTTGAAAGATGGGTAGGGGGGTCCTGGTAGTTAAGGTTGAACATACAGAGTGAGGCCAGATTCCTGGCACCTTAAGCCTCACATGGATAAGTTTTAGTAAGATGCAAAAGGCAATAGAGCATTAATGCAGGTATTTGGTGGGCGCCTGGGTGGCTCAGTTGATTGAGCGACTGCCTTCGGCTCAGGTCATGATCCCGGAGTACTGGGATTGAGTCCTGCATCAGGCTCCCTGCTCAGCAGGGAGTCTGCTTCTCCCTCTGACCCTACCCCCTCTTGTGCTCTCTCTCTCTCAAATGAATAAAATTTTTTAAAAAATGCAGGTATTTTGTGTTTTGCTTTGTTGGTTGTTGTTTTCAAATTTTATTTATTTATTTATTTGAGAGATAGAGCGAGAGAGCATAAGCGGGGGAGGGGGCAGCAGGCAGAGGGAGAAGCAGGCTTCCCGCTGAGCAGGGAGCCCAGCGTGGGACTCAATCCCAGGACCCTGAGATCATGACCTGAGCTGAAGGCAGACACTTAACCGGCTGAGCCACCCAGGCGCCCCAGCTTTGTTTTGTTTTTGAGAAGAGGAGGGACCTACTTCAGGACTGTCTTTTAGAAAATTATTCTGGCAGCTTAGGGATTCTAGTTGGGAAGTCTTTGTAGGAATCCATGTAAAAGGAAATGACATCTGGCTCTTTTCTGTTACTTTTAAATGATAGATACTCTTTTCTTTGGAGGGCGGGGAAAGGATTTCTTATGAGCTAGGTATTGTTAACTACTTAAATGCATTATTTTTTAATCACGAAGAGATGAGGGCTCAGAGAAGGTGAGTGCTTTGTTTAGGGTCACGTAACAGGAAGTCGTGAGCCAGGAGTTTTGACACCCACAGGGTGCTGTCTCGGTAAAGGCAGCCCAATCAGATTCATTTCCATTGGCTGGGTTTCTAAGGGGCAAGTGGAGTTTTATTTCTGAGCTGATTCCTGGCTACTTTTCTGGGCCCCTTGTTCCTGGGCCCTTTGCCAACTGGGGGCTAAAAGCTGCTGTCTGGGCAGTCCCCATTCTTCATTTGTCTGAAAAGCATGTACTGTTTTCATTCCAAAGGCAAAGAATCTAGGCAGGAGACATTCCAAGTTTGGGGATAAAACTAAGCTCCCAGCCCTCCCCACTCCCAAGGCCTCCAGAGCTTAATGACCGCTGTGGCACTTGGGAGGAACGAATGCACGTGCACACCCAGAGACGGGCTTACATACGTGCACACACACGTCTGCCTCTGACAGTGTCCACACACCTCTTCGTCCCTCCTTACTTTACCGGGCCTGTGCTGCCAGTCACCACAGAGCTTTTTTTTTTTACAGAGTTCCTGATACTTTGGGCGAATAAATGTAATGCTACATGTGCATTCCAGGTAGGATTTCATTGGGTTTCGAGATAATTCTTTGAGGGGATTTTGATTCCCATTTAGAAATGAAGAAACAGGCCTGGTACAAGGAACGGACTTGCCCTTAGTCACATAGCTACTTAGAGCTGGGGCCTGCAGGCAGGCTGCCTCATTCCCTTACTTGCGATGCTAACTGACCGCTGCCTTCAAGAAGCTCAGGCTTCTGTGGAGGAGATGGAGTGGGGTGAGGCTTGACTGTGCGTGTATTTGCTCATTTCTGCACCCAGTAGTACTTACTGATCTTCGTCTCTACCAGATCTCGTTAGGACTATAAAAGTGGGTCAAGGTTTTTGATTCTACTTTAAAAGGGTTCCCTAGTATCTGGACAAGACAGATCATAGGTTTTCCTGAAGGGGCTGCTCTTCAGTGAAGAACTGAATCCCTAATGGTGTAATTTCAGGAAGTTGGGTCGTGGAAGAATACAGTAAAGGAGGGTATTGAGCAAGGGAAGGAGCAGGGGGTAGGAAATGGCGCCTCAGATTTGTTGTTAGCTGTGCCAGTATCGCCACCTGGTGTGTACGTTGGGGAGACTCAACTTCCCTTTCCAGGGACAAAGTGGGCAGAAGCCTGCAGTTTGTCAGCAGGAAGCTTGCAGCCTAGACCTTTCCCCTCGTCCCTCCCTGCTGGTCCCACCACCTCGTTTGAGACTTCAGCCACTGACAGATCTGGACTTGGCAGTTTTTAGAGGTTGAGTTCTGTTTTCAGAACTTCTGTTCTCTCTCTGCCTTTTCTGTTTCACCTACTTAATTAACTCAGTGGTCAGTGCTCTTTTCTGAGGGCTCCTTTTGTTCTGTAGCTTATCCATCTGTACCTCATGTCTAAGCCATAGAGCCCTGTCTTCTTCATCATCCTTTCCCCTCCTACCCTGGTCCCCTGTCACTTGGTGTTTCTTACCAGGATAGGAAGACCTGACCGTGGCCAAGTCCTTCCCTTCTTCCAGAGGGATTAGGAAACTCTTACTCTTTCTTTTGGGTCTAGCCCAGGCCTCACCTTCCCTGTCTCCTTTCAGGCAGAGTTGGTCACTCCATCCTTTGGGCTCATCCAGCAGCTTGTAGGTCTCTCTCTTATAGAACTTATCACACTGTGTATAGTTATCTGTTTACTTGTCTATATTGGGCTAGATCATGAGCTCCCCAGTGGCCCAGACAATTTTCTCATTCATCTCCATATACCTAGGACTGAGTGCAGGGCTTGGCATTCAGTAGACACTTGGAAGTACTTGTTGAAAGAATGGATGAATGAATGGGTGGATTAACATGGACATGTAGAGCAAGGAACGGAGGCGGGAAGGAGGCTGGGTGGTTTTGTCAGTGAACAGAGAGAATGTGTGGGTGGGCATAAAGGTATATTTTCATCATAACTGAGCCCTTGAGATCTTACCCACCATGAAAGATACTCAGAAAGGAAACTCAGGCGTGGGAGCAGCAGGGGGCTCTCCTAAGCCCTGCCCAGCCCCTTTGGCCTGAATTTCATTTTTCTGTGCTCCTGGGAACAGGTACTTAGGACTCCAAGAGTTGCTACTCAATGATTCCTTTCTTGTCTTCCCTAAATATCCCCCTGCCACCACCCCAGTCATATCTCAGCCATTCTGCCTTCTCTGGATCTTTGGGATAGCTTGCAGGGTATTCTACATTTGTTGAACCTTCCAGATAGCCCGGGATGAGGGGAATAACTATGGGACTTGGACTCATACAGATTGGAATTCCAGTCTCCATTCTACCTGCAATTACTTCCCCTCCCTAAGTCTTAAATCCGGACCGTCCTAGGCTGGCAATGATACATTATTATCTGAGGGGGGACACACGGAAATACCCTGTAAACTAGTAGTTGTTAGGATCTTAGTATATGCGCCACCTCAGAGGAGGGAATCATATACCCAGGAACCTAGCTTGATTGCTGGCAGCAGAATGATGGCCAAAATGATAAGAGCTATGGTAGCCACTGTGGTTTCTCTGGGCCCTGAGCTAACTCAGAGCCAGTCAACAAAATAGGCAGAATATATTCTCAGTGCCAGAGCCCTCATTTTCCTCTTTGATGCTACGACTTGTGGCGTATGGGCTGGCACCCTTGCCGGGCCTTCTCCAGCTCCCTGCATCGCCCCCAGGCTGCACAAGGCCCAAGAGGAGCACCGCACAGTGGAGGTGGAAAAGGTCCATCTGGAGAAGAAGCTGCGTGATGAGATCAACCTTGCCAAGCAGGAAGCCCAGCGGCTGAAGGAGCTGCGGGAGGGTACGGAGAATGAGCGGAGCCGCCAAAAATACGCCGAGGAGGAGCTGGAGCAGGTAGGAGAGTGCACAAATTCCTGGACGTGCTCGGGGGTGAGGGGGCAGAAAAGAGCAGGGACCAGAAGGCTGGCCGGAATGTTTCATGAGAGAGGACTTGGAAATCGGGCTCCAAGAATATCTTCAAGAGTCAATAGAGTCTTACCAATAAGAGTAGTGGAGAAGTTGCAAAAAAAAAAAAAAAGGTCAAGGAATAGGGGATAACAGGTGTAAACAGTTACTTTGTTTCTTTTTTGATTGAAGTATTTACATAAAGTGTACAAATCATAAATATACAGCTGGAAAGCTTTTACATGAGCATGTACCTGTATAACCACCATCCAGATCAAGATATAGAATATCTTTTTTTTTTTTTTTTTAAGATTTATGTATTTGAGAGAGAGAGAGAGAGAGAGCATGCACCTGAGTGGTGGGGAGAGGAACAGAGGGAGAGGGAGAAGCAGACTCCCTGCAGAGCAGGGAGCCCGATGCGGAGCTCGATCCCAGGAACCCAGGATCACGACTTGAGTCGAAAGCAGAGGCTTAACCGACTGAGCCACCCAGGCGCCCCCAGAATATCTTTTAAGCACCCCTTCTGGTCCTGTAGTTTGTTTGTTTGGTTTTTGCTCTCTTAATATTGTCTTTTAATGAACAGAAGGTCTTGATTTTAATGAAGTCCAATTTAATCTTTTTTTAAAACAGTTGATACTTTTTGTGGCCTGTTTAAGAAATCTTTCCCATTTCCCAAGATATTTTTCTAAATTTTCTTCCAGAAGTGTTATTGTTTTACTTTTCACATTAGGTTTGTAGTTTATTTCAAATTAGTTTTTGTGTATGATATGAGGTAGGAAGTCAAGTTTCTTTTTTTTTTCAGGTAGATACTTTATTATGTATCCATTTTTCTATCCTTGTACCACGTTGCCTTCTACTAAGGTTTGATATTGCTAGTAAGTTCTCCAGCTTTATTGATGGCCTAGGTTCTTTGAATTTCTGTAATTAGCTTGTCATTCTACTACTCTTCCCTACTCCCCCCAAAAAAGTCTTGCTGGGATTTTTCTTGTTTTTGCTTTGAATCTATAGATTAATGTGGGGAAAATTGACATTTTAACCAAACAAGTCTTCTAGTCCATGAGCATTGTTTATCCTGTCATCTATTTAGGCTTTTTATTTATTTATTTAATTTTTTAAAAAGAGTTTCTATTTATTTGAGACAGAGAGAAGGAGAGAGAGACAAGCAGGGGGAGCAGCAGAGGGAGAGGGAGAAGCAGACTGCCCGCTGAGCAGGGAGCCCAATGCAGGGCTGGATCCCAGGACCCTGGGACCATGACCTTAGCCAAAGGCAGATGCTTAACCAGCTGAGCCACCCAGGTGCCCCTATTTAGGCCTTTTAAAATTTCTCTCAGCAATGTTTTGTAGTTTTCAGTTGTAGACGTCTTGCACTTTGAAAAAAATTTTTGACTTCTTATTTTTCTAGCCTTTTTTTTTTTTTAAGATTTTATTTTTAAGCAATCTTTATACCCAACGTGGGACTCAAACTCATGACCCTGAGATCGAGCGTTGCATGTTCCACTGACTGAGCCAACTTTGTGCCCCTTATTTTTCTAGCTTCTTGAGGTGGAAGATTAGGTTATTGATTTTAAACCTTTAATCTTTTCCAACATAGGCATTTAGAGCTATAAATTTCCCAGCTCAGCACTCACTGCATTAGCTGCTGCATTTACTAAGTTCTGGCATTTCATATTTTCATTATCATTCAGTTTAAAAGATTTTCTAATTTCTATTGCAAATTTTTTTGGGGGGGCATGGTTATTTAGAGTAAGTATGTGGCCTAATTTTCACACACCTGGGGGACTTTTCTAGTTATCTTTCTCATTGATTTCTAATTTAGTTTTGCTGTGGTCAGAGAACAGATACTGTATGTTTTCAGTTCTTTCAAATGTTGAGACTTGGTTTATGTAAACAGACTAAACAATACAATTGAAAGGCAAAGAGTTGTCAGATTGGATAAAAAAACAAAACCCAGCTATGTGCTGTTTACAAGAGATACACCTTAAAGATACAAAATGGTTCAAAGTAAAAGGATGAGAAAAGATATAGGCTACAAACACAGAAGAAAATAAAGCAGGAGTAGTTATATTAATATCAGACAAAGCAGGCGTTACAGCAGGAAGTATCACTGGAGACAAAAATGATACATGTGTGAAGCTAACAGTAACATATAACAACACTTGATTTGCATACATCTAACAATATAGTTAAAAAATATATAAAGCAAATATTGAAGAAACTAAAAGTGTAATAGACACATTTATAATCAAAGTTAGAGATTGTAAAACACCCCTGTCAATAATAAGCAGCCCAAAATATCAGTAAGGATGTAAAACATTTAAACATGATTAATCAGTTTGCCCTTATGGACACAAACAGAGCATTTCGCCAGACAACCACAGAATGCACACGCTCTTTCGTGTTGGCGGAGTGCTGCTGCTGCATTCCCTCCTCTCCTTCTGGGGATCCAGTATTCATGCAAGACCTTTTCACTGGATTCCACTCATCTCTTATGCTTACTTAGTTGTGTCTTTTTTTTTTTTTTTTCTCTCTCTCTGCTTTGGTTTGGTTATTTTCTATTGATTTATCTTTGATTCCCCAATCCTGTGTTCTGCTGTGAGCATTGTGCTGTTTAACCCATCCAGTGGGATCCTACTCTCAGATACTGTAGTTTCCAGATCTAGAATGCTCATTTTACTCTTTTATAGATTCCAGTTTCCTGCCCAGAATTTCCATCTTTTCATCTTTTGTGTCTATCTTTTCTGTATTTTCTTTAGTATTTCAATCATAGTTATTTTAAAGTTCTTTTCTGGTAACTCTAACATTTGGATCACTTATGAGACTGCCTATTTTTCCTCTTGATTATTGGTTATATTTTCCTGCCTCTTCTCATGTCTAGTAATATATTTTTAGTAAATACTGGACAGTGTGTATAAAACAATAACAGAGGCCCCAGATGATTTTATCCTCCGTCAAATAGAGGCTCCCCCCCCACCCCCTTTCTCCTGTACGTAGGATACGTAGGTACGTAGGATGAGGACCTAATCACGTCAGGCCAATCAGAAATTGAGCCATGTTGGAACTGGGTTGTAGGTTTAGTAAGACTTGGTCTAGCAGTCATTTGTCCCAGTTTCTCAGGCACATCCCTTACTTTTTCTTGAGAGCTAGTGGATTTCTTTCTCCTGAGCCCATGAGAAATTCATGTCTGTCACTGGGAGGATTTTAATTTAGCTCTTTGGCCTCCTGCTCTGAGGGGAGGATCAGCAGTGTGTTTGAAACGGGTCCCTTCCGGAATTCCCGCAATATTTTGTTTCCTAAGTATTATGAAATTGTGGGAGATCTTATTGCACCCTTTGGCCTAGTTACGTGTTCTCCTGCACAGCCTCAGAACTCAGTAAATGCTCAATGAAGAAAATGGGGTGTATGTTTGGGACATCTCAATTTCCAATCTGTCATATCAGTATCATACTACCAGCAAAAACTAGGCTGGTTTCCCTGGGCCCCAGTGGAGTTGCACTGCCCGCGCCGAGCCCATTTATCAGCTCTGACCCAGAACCATCAAAAGCCTCCAAGGAAGAAAATGGCTGACAATTGTGAACTCACCTTAGAAAGCCTTTTTCCCCTCTCTGGATTTTTAGTTCATCTAATTCAGTGGTTCTCAAACTTTTTGGTCTCAGGATCTTTTTACTCTTACAAACTATTTAGGACCTCAAAGAACATTTTTAAAGGGGCAATTTGTTGCTATTTACCCTGTTAGAAGTTAGAACTAGGAAAACTAAAAAATATTTACTAGTTCAGGGGTACCTGGCTGGCTCAGTGAGAAAAGCGTGCAACTCTTGATCTCAAGGTTGTGAGTTTGAGCCCCCCCCCAAAAAACCCAAATAATCTTAAAAAATTTACTAATTCATTTAAAATGAGTATATTAAACTCTTTATATGTTAACATAAATAATATTTTTTGAAAAATGACTGCATTTTTCAAAATAAAAAATGTAGTGAGAAATGATTTTTTTTTTACAATTTTGTAAATATTTTTAATATCTGGTTTAATAGACTACTGGATTCTTATATTAGTATCTATATTCAATCTGTTATGATATTCTTCATCATGTAGCCTCAGGAGAAATCTATAATTTGTTGTGAGAGAAAGGGAGTGAAAAAGGTAGGTAAATAATGTCTCAGTATTGTTACAAAAATAGTTTGAGCTCACAGATGCCCTGAAAGGATGCACTCAAGGATCCCTGGATCCTACTTTGAGAACTGTAGAACTAGTCCTTGTTGCTTCTAGAGCCATCTGATGTCCTTGAAAATTTTTCATAATTATAATAATTTGTTTTTCAAGAATTTCATAATTTTCGGAACGTAGCTTTCCCCAGATGTTGTGATGGATCAGAATTGTTCTTGGGGCACCTGGGTGGCTCAGTCGTTAGGTGTGTGCCTTCGGCTCAGGTCATGATCCCGGGGTCCTGGGATTGAGCCCTGCATCGGGCTCCCTGCTCAGCGGGAAGCCTGCCTCTCCCTCTCCCACTCCCCTGTTTGTATTCCCTCTCTTGCTGTCTCTCTTGCTGTCAAATAAATAAATAAAATCTTAAAAAAAAAAAAAGAATTGTTCTTGTGCTGTGACCTACTACATCCTGTGGGGGAGTGGGAGTCAGGTGTGACCCTAGAAAGCACATGGCCAGTGGTTATTAACGTTGCTGCATATTAGAATCACTGGGAGAGCAGTCGAGATTTTTGATATCCAGGCCAGCACCCCAGATCGGTGAAATCAGAACCTGGATTTGGGTCCAGATTTCAGTATTTTTAAAGTTCCCCCAGGTGATTCCAGGGTGTGGCAGGTTGAGAACCACAGCCATAGAATAAAAGAATATTCTGACTTGCCACAGTTCTCATCTCCTTCAGGCATTTATACCTTGTATGTGGCAAGATGTGTCTGTCTCTGTCTCCTTGCCCCCCCGCCCCCCCCAGTTTCCTTTTCCCCATTTTGTAAGTATTTCTCCCATTAAAAAGTTTTGAGCCTGTTAGGCCAGCCCTTCCAACTGTCACACTTCCCTCTATTTCCTCTTTTTACTCGTCTCTTCCCATTCTCCCCTTAGCCTTTCCCATTTCTTTCACTCCTTTCAAGGTAGAACTGGATCATTCATTTCAGACTTGGTGTATTAGACTCGGCGGTATCTGTTCTTCATTTTAAATCTACAAAGCCAGGAGTGGGCTATGTTATAGTTTCTCTTCCAAGGAACAAAAACCATGTGAAGATTGGGCCTCTCATTGGCTGTCTAAGGAATAAAGGTGTTCTGTCCTTAGCTGAGGCCCTCCCAGTCTATCATATGCCATGGGTAGAACCTCGGGCCTGCTCTGGGGTACTTGCCCCATTGGCTGAAGGTGGGCATAATAAGCCTGCTCTCAATCCCTTTTCTTTGGGATTCTGACCAGCTAAAGGTCAGTGAATACTGTAGCCTGGGGAAGATAGCAAGGAATCCAGTGTGTGTAATGTCTGTGTAATCTCAGACCTTCCACGTTCAGTGCTTTGTGATGGTCTACTTCATTGTATGCTCCTTGCTTGAGAAGTCAGTAAGGAGATTTCTACTTACACAGTGGTTCTTTCATGTCTTGGCCTCGTTAAAAGTAAGCACGATTGTTGTCTACTCCCTTTGTAGAGGGTGCCCTTCAAAGCTTACCTTCCCTGCTCAATGGGAGAATCATAGACCTAGCCTCTGGGCTACAGAGACTTTGGAGAGCATTCAGGCCAACGCCCTTCCGGAGTAGCAATCATTTTTAAGGTCTCTGACCTGAGCTGTTCTCATACCTCGTCCTGAGATCACCCCTTCACTTATGGTTGGGATTTGTGAGGGAGAAAGTCTTTCCTCACACAGAATTGAGATGTGCAGGACCAGTTGAGTGACAGACCAGGGACCAGAACCAGATTTCCAGGTTCCCAGTCAAGTGCTTTTCCTGCCACATCATGATGTCATGAGGTCTAAGCACAGACCCCAACTCTCAGAAAGAGGATGGTTCACTGAGCTGACCTGTGCCTCAAGAGAGCAGGGAAGATTGCTGGGGATTGGCTGTGGACCGGGAGAGACAGGTAATTGTGTGGGCAAACAGCACTCTAGTCTAGGCAGCAAAAAAAATCTCAATTTGAGATCTGGTTGACACTACTGACTGTGTGACCCTGAGTAGGTGACTGTCCCCTGAGCTTGCCTCCTGTGGTGTATAAAATATGGAGAATAATCCTTGCCCTTTCTGCCTTTTGAGAGGCTTGAAAGCGCCCATGAGCTAGCAGGTGAGAACTCCGAATTTGGTGGTATCAGACAGAGGCACTGGAGGGGGTCTTGGCAGCAGTAAATGGTCACACCCTCTTGGCTGCACAGGTCCGGGAGGCCCTGAGGAAAGCAGAGAAGGAACTGGAGTCACACAGCTCGTGGTACGCTCCAGAGGCCCTTCAGAAGTGGCTGCAGCTGACACACGAGGTGGAGGTGCAGTACTATAACATCAAGAAGCAAAACGCCGAGAAGCAGCTGCTGGTGGCCAAGGAGGGGGTGAGACGCGCCCTCCTGCTGTCCTCTGTGCTCCTGGCCCGCTCCCTTCCCCCACCCTGCCTCCTTGCCTCCACCTCTCTCCGTCCCAACTGTGGGACCAAGAGATATCCCGGTGCTGGGTTCTGTTTCTTTTCCTGATACATAGTTCCTGATGATGTCCTCAAGTTTCTGGAGGAGGGAATGAGGGAAAGATGAAGCCGGTGGAGGCAGGTAGAGGGAAGGCTCTGTCAGCGCCGGCCCGCCATGGGGCAGAGCCCTCCTGGGGTCGGGGGTTCTAGCAGGGGGTCCCGCTGCTTCTCTCATTGCCTCCATCTTCTCTCCTCCCCCACTCTTTGCCCTTCCCTTGCCTTCCTTTTCCTTCTTCTCTTCTTCTCTCTTGTGCAGCCTAAGGAGGAAGGGGACCCAGCCACAGAAAGGCACTTCTCATTTTCCAACCTCTAATCCCTGCTCTGTTTAAGCTGAGGACCTCATTTTGCAGGCTGAGAAGATAAAAAAGAAGAGAAACACACTCTTCGGCACCTTCCACGTGGCCCACAGCTCTTCTCTGGACGACGTGGATCACAAAATCCTAACTGCAAAGTAAGTAGCACCTGCTGCCCGGCTCTGGCGCTGTCCATCCATCCTCAGAGCTGGAGGGTGGGCAGAGTCTCCGACCCCAGGTGTACTTCTTCACTGGTAGAGGGGCGGCCCTGGTCTCCTGTCCCGGCCTTTACCCGCCTCCCACATTGCTCTTAAGTGTCTGACTTAATTGTGGTTCTTATTTGCAACGCTCCCCCCCGCTTGCTCCTCTGAGAGGCCTCATTCCTGCTGGGGCTCCCAGGCACCCATGGCTTCACTTCTGTCCCGTGTGCTCCAGGCAAGCTCTGAGTGAGGTGACGGCAGCACTGCGGGAGCGCCTGCACCGTTGGCAGCAGATTGAGATCCTCTGTGGCTTCCAGATTGTCAACAACCCCGGCATCCACTCCCTGGTGGCTGCTCTCAACATAGACCCCAGCTGGATGGGCAGTACGCGTCCCAACCCCGCCCACTTCATCATGACGGATGATGTGGATGACTTGGATGAGGAGATGGTGTCACCCTTGTCCATGCAATGTAGGTGACCTCCTGGGTGGGGGTGAGGGAAGGAGCCTCTGGGGCCCGGGTTGAGAAGTTGTTGGCCATTGCTGTGCTTCAGCAGCATCTGGGGCAGATGCCAAGGGAGTGAGGTCAGTGCCCGGCCGTGGGTCATAACGCACAGCTCACATCAGGCTACTCCTCTATGGTTGTGTTCTTGGTGGATTTTTCTCACTGTACGTTCTGTCTGCCCCTCTGGGGCTACTGTATTCAGTGTGTCTCCCTTCACTCTGTGTTTTTAAAATCGCTTTATCCTCCTTTCTCTTCCCCATGTGCCTTTATAAAAACAATCTCCTTTAGTGGTTCATAATATAAAAATGATATTCATTTTTGCCTCTTGAGTGCTTTTATTTGTGTGTGTGTTTTTTTTTTTTTAAGATTCTATTTATTTATTTGACAGAGAGAGACACAGCGAGAGAGGGAACACAAGCAGGGAGAGTGGGAGAGGGAGAAGCAGGCTCTTCGCGGAGCAGGGGAGCCCGATGCGGGGCCTGGGACCATGACCTGAGCCGAAGGCAGACGCTTAACCGTCTGAGCCACCCAGGCGCCCCTGTGTTTTCATTTTTATATTCTTTATTTTAATTGCTAAAGTGGACGAATGGGATGCTATCTTTTTTCTCTCTGCCTTTTTGTGTGAGGCCCCATGAAGCAATAGTCCCTTAAAGAGAAGTAGCCCTAAGTCCTCCAAGCCAGAAAGACGTTCTTGTCCCGGAGGGATCTCCTGCACAAGCATGTCTGGCTTTCCACCTGAATGCTTGGACCTCTGCACCCTTTCCTGGGCCTTCCCTCCCCGTCTTCTCCCCTCCAGTGGTGAGAGCTGAGTAGAGCAAAGCCAGGAGACAACTGTGGGAAATCTTCTGCAAATGAGGGGCTTACCCCTGAGTGGCCTGGTTGAAATTTTCTCTGGATCAGAGGCGATTTTAAGGAAAAGCTGTGGTCCTGGGCCCGTATCCCATGAGGCTGGCCTAGGGGCTCACTTTCAGAAAGCCAGATTCTTTCCTCAGGCTGGATTCCAGCTCCAGGCAGGATTTGTTTGCACATTTGTTCAGCAATACTTTGCCTCCGGCCAAGCCACGTTGTCACCATGGTGTGATGTCCTATGAGGGCTTTAATCAAAAGCCCAAGGAGGTTAGGATCACTGGCAGGCAGATCTTGATCCTAAAGGCTCCTATGTTCCATGGATTGGAAGGGACCTTCATTAGCTCCGAGCTACCCACCCCTTGCCCCCGGCCCTCCCTTTATCCCACTGAAGGATGGGCTGAAGCCCTCTGTAAATCACATTCTCTTCTCCTTTTGGCCTGGCTGTTGGACCCTAGATGCTGCCTGGCTGATGGGGCGTAGGTTCAGTGATCGCTCTCTCTGCTCAACATCCGCCGGCTCGGATGATCAGTCCCTCTGGAAATACCCGGGTTTGAGGAGCCCCTTTGGGGCTTTTGTTTTTCCGACTTTTGGGACTAAACAGCACTCCTACCCCATGAGCCCCTTCTGCCTGCCTGCCTCACTCCCCTGCCTGCTCCCTCTGTTCCCTCAGCACTGCCCCTACTAACTGCAGGGAGAGGTTCGGGGGTGAGAAGAATCAGCCTGCTCAGCTGAGGGCTAGAGAGAGAACACCCATGGTGATGGAAGGCTTGGGCTTCTCTCTTCAGCCCAGCTAGACAGAAGTCCTGGTGGCCCTTCTTCCAGCTGGGCTGGGATGGAAAGAGAGAAGGAAAGTTCCTTTCTCCCTTTTCTCCCTTTTCTTCTCCCTTTTCTTCTTTTTCCCCCTTTACCTCTTTCTGTTCCATGCTGCTTCTTCCTCTTCTGCCTTAAAAGCCACCAGTCATAGAAGCCCTGCCTCCCCAGCGCTCCATCACTGTGGAATTGTGTTCTCTCCCTTGCGGCCCCTCCGTGGCTTCTGGCACCCTCGTCACCTGGCTCTTTCTCCCATCTTTAGGGAGAAGTCAGGGCGGCCCATCTCACAGGGTAGAGGAGTAAAAACAAAGGTAGAAATTCTCTTTCCAGCTGGAGCTGGAAGTGAGCCCAAGGGGGATGCTCTAGCACATTCCCAAGTTGCCTGTTGTCCACATATCCCCTTCACTGGGCCTGGTGGTCGTCATCTGCCAAGAGCCTGATCTATAGCATCGTTCCAAGAGCTGGCTCTTTGTTGTCTGCACGCTTGTTAGAAGAAATTTGGAAAGTGAAAAGTATAAATATGGGCATTAAAAAAAGGTACCCAGAGCTCCACCCTATTTGAGCATCTTCTCTGACAGTCTTCTGAGGTCTGTGGAATTTTTAATAATTTTTTATGTGGTCAAGGTAATAATGACCACTACTATTTATTGAGTGCCATGAACTGTGCCAGGTACTTTAAATGCGCTCTCCTGAAGCCTCACAACAACTCTGCAGGATTTTATAAATCAGGACTTAAGGTAGGGAAGTAAGTTGCACAAGGTCATGGCTACAAGTGGAAAGGCTTTGTTTCAGACTCTAGTCTGTTGTGTTCCATAGCTTGAGGTATTTCTTTTATGTCTAATTTTGTATCCTTTTGTTTCCCCTGAGCAATTTTAATAGGTATTTTTGTATGTTTTTCAAATCTTAAGCAGCATTTTTAATAGCTGTGGAGTTTTCCAGCAATTGGATATACTATCATTTTCCCCTTGTTCCAACTTTATGTGTACTATCACATAATTATTACTACCGATGTGATGAGCGTGTTTGTGTATAAATCCTTGTCTACACTGCGAATTATTTCCTGAGGTTCGCTTTCTAGAAAGGCTGGTTCTTAGTGCTCTCCTGGACCTTGCCCCCCCACCCCCATCCCACCCGGCCCTGCCTGTTCCTCCCACTCACCGCCCTGCCTCTCCTTTCTAGTCATGGTGGCCCTCGGTCTCCTTCCATTGCAGCTGCCACTAAAACTGCCCTGGGCACCTCATCATGAATTTCCCCTTCCTTTCAGGAGCCCTGGTGGGAGGTCTTTGGGAGGAGGTGCCTCAGTCTCCAGATTGGGCACCAAGGGCCCAGAGTGGGCCGCAGCAAGCATTTCTCCAGGGGGCAGACCTGCTTGCCTGCCAGCCTGAAGGAGGCTGGCCCTCCCTCACCCTTTCCTCCCTCTCTTTGCAGCTCCCACCCTGCAGTGCAGTGTCCGGCAGCGGCTGACGGAGCCACAGCATGGCCTGGGATCTCAGAGGTTGGTAGAGGGCGAGGCTGGCCACTTCTTGACAAGCCGGGTCTCTCTGAGGCGAATGTGCAGCCTTTCATCTGGACAGTCTTTCAGTTCTGAAGGCCACGGGACCAGCGCTCCATCTGCCTCTGCTTCTTCTTCCTGCTCCTCTCCCGCCTCCACCACCACCTCCTCCTCCACCACCACCTCCTCCACCACCACCTCCATCACCACCGTCCATGTCCACCCTGTTTATTACCACCACAGCACTTCCTATTTCCTCCAGATGGGGCCCTACCCTGGCCCACTCCCTTCTGACAGCAGCGCTGTGAGGCCTGGGCATTCAGAGAGCTTGGGGTATTGGCTGTCTCTCTTCTCTTTCTTTCCTGCCTTCCTTCCCTTTCTGCTGCCTTTACCTTGGCCTCTGCCTGCTGGCTGCTGCTTGGTCAGCTGGGTCTGTGTGTGTATGTGTGTGTGTGTGTGTGTGTGTGTGTATGTGTGTGTGTGTGCAGTGGGGCATCTTCTCCTTGTTCTCTCCCAGCCCCAGGGCTCCTTCTTAAGGTCAGCCTCACTTCCCACAACTTTGTGCCCTTCTCTGTTTGGGCTTTGCCGACTCTAAAAATGAGTCAGCGCCCCTCCCTCGTGGTCCTGTCGCACTTGGGCCTGAACTCTGCACCTGCACATTCGTTGTTTCACTGGAGGCCTTGCTTCCTTTACCCCTCTGATAGAACATTTAGGGATACCTGCTCTGGGCCAGGCTCTGCGGGGCAGGGGGATTCCTAGATGATAAGATACAATCCCAGCGTCCGGGAGAGGTACACAGACACTTATGGAACAAGTTGAGAAGTGCTACGGGGGTGTTGAGGAGGGAGTGACTAACAGTGTGTACCTGGGTGGAGCACGTCACAAGAGAGATGACATTTGTGCTAATGCCCTGTGTGCAGGAGCAGAAGAAAGTGTGGTCTAGGCAGAGGAAGCCTGATGGGCAGAGGTGTGGAGGTTCAAGAGAATAGGATATAACTGTGGTTAGGACCTTGGACGTATGTTGGTGGGAAGGGGTGGCAGATGAGGCTAGGAGGGGGAAGGGCTTTGAGAGGCAGGGGGCTTGGGCCATCACCTTTTAGGAGAGGGAGCACTGCAAAAGGATTTCTGAAAGGAAGAGAATCAGATTTGCGTTTTAGAAATAACATTTTAGGGGCCTGTATAAAGAAGAGAAGGGGAGACTACAGAAATTTGGAAGTCATTGAGGTAGACCCGTAGGGGAGGTAGTGGGGTCTAGGCGTGGCAAGGGGAGGATTAATTTGGCAACGGGCTAGGAGGGGTCGAGGAGAGGGAGGGACCTAGGAGGACACTCCGGTTTCTGGCTTGGGTGACCAAATGGTTGTGGGACCCTTCACGGAATGAGGGAACTGAAGAGGAGAAACAAGTTCAGGGTTTTGGACAAGAAGTTTATAGGTGGGACGAACCTAAAGTACTCACTTTGAGTAGGGATTTAAGGTTCTGAAGGGTCAAGTAATTTTCCCCAGGTCCCACGGCTCATTAGGAACAGAACACAGAGTCGAACTTGACTTTCCAGGCCCGGACACTCTTCCGGTATTTCTGTCCTTCTACGAGGTCTCGATACGTGAACTGTGTAAGAACTGGGGAGAGGCTTCCTCCCACAGCCTGGTCTAGCAGCAGCCGGGCCTTTCCCAGCTAATACCTCAGGAGATAGGCTAGGGTCAGAGATGAGAGCCTTGAACAAGCTTAGGGGAGCCTCAGAAAGTCCTTCTCCAGAGGGACCTCTCATCTCCGAAGTTGTGACCCAGCCCAGCCCTGGCCTCTGGGCTTCAGCCTGCTCACACTGCTGTGGATTTTTGGTCCTGCTTCACTCTGGATGCCAGTCCCTCTCGCTCTGCTCCTGGAACATCCGGATAGTTATCCATGAGGGCTGTTCCTTTGTCTTTCACCAGGGGACTGCCTTTGCTAGCACTTTCACCCAGCACAGTGGCTCATTTTCATTCTCATCCTCATTGTCATCCAAAAGCTTAGGCAGGGAGACTGCCCCTCTCCATACAGGTGGAGAAGACTGGACTGGGGTTCGGGGGCACTAGGGGGTGCTGCAAATCTCATGCTCCAAGGCCTAAGCCGAGGGCAGTGGGGAGGGAGGGCAGGGAGGTACATGCACCCACCTGGCCTGTTCACTACTGAATTTTCTTTTGCACCATGCACCAGAGGATCGTCTCTAAAGACAAACAGGCTCTCTAGTAAGGTTAGTAGCTTGGTATGGAAGCCCAAGGCAGCCCAGCCTTTGGGGAGGGACACCCCTGTCCTGAGTGTCTCAACGATTCAGGGAGGGAAAGTGAGCTTGCCTCAGCAGGCCTCTGACCTCCTGCATCTACCTGAGCTTCCTCCAGGCTCTTTTCTGGCTTTGGAAGGTCTCAGCTTTTAACTGATGACAAGGCATGGAGGGATGGGAATCATGGCCAAATGGGGCTGTGGGCCACGAGGAGTGAGGCTGGGAGGGCCCCAATCCCCTGACTGCTCTCCCTTGGCATTAGAAAAGTAAGCTCCTGGGATCCTCATCTTGTCAGCATAGAGGGCCCCTTTTCCCAGTGCGGTTGCTCCCCAGAACTGTCTCGGCACCTTGCTCAGTGGCCCATATGTGTGTAGAAAAGGCAGGATATGGAGAGGATCATCTTGGAGCTTAGGGAAACGAGGGCACATTTAGAAAGAAGGACAGCGTCAGATATCCGAAACCAAATATGAGACTGAACATGAGTAAACAGTAGAGGATGTGGTTGAAACAGTATCTGTAGGATGGAGTTGGAGCTGGGATTGTTCTCTGCTGTTCTTTGTCTCCAGGAAGATACTGGCCCATGGGGTAGTTGCTTAGTTAATTGTTTCCTACCGAGAATTAACCCTCCAGTAGCTATGAGCCAACCTTCTGCTTTTGCTTATTTTCGGGGCCTGGCGCCCTTCCTAATTTTTGACCCACAGCCTCCTCCTTTCCCGGTCCTATGGCGCTCTCCCCTCCCACTCCTGACTTTTCCCCTTTGCTTCCTGACTTGGATGTTTGAGCGTTTCCCTTAGCCCTCTCCTCTGGTCCTCCTGTGGGTTCTCTTCTGGGAGAGCAGAGGGAGAGTTACGGGACTGGCAGGGGACCCCCAAATTTACCCTTTTGTCTGTAGAGGCAGGAGAGGAGGCATTCAGAATTGGTTTGTGGGCCTTCTTAGGAATAGCCAGCCCCTTAGAGGGTCTCAGCTTTCTGGACTAACCTCTGCGTGTGCATGTCCAGTGTGCAGTGCCACATCCCCATAACTCAGCCTTGCAAAGAAGCCTCTTGTGATTGGCCCACGTAAGGGTCTTCCAGCTTGACTGGCCTCATCATCTTCATTCCCACAATACTTCCTCCATTTCCAAGTGATTTGCCAACATATTTGATCCTCCAAACAGCCTTGCAAGGTCATTGAGTTGGTATTGTCTTCATTTGGCCAAAATTGAGGACCAGCAGGGTTAGATGACTTGTCCAAGGTCACATGACAAGCCTCAGGCAGAGATGGAAATTATGACTTCTAGTGGCAGCTCTTCAGAACCACTGCTCCTTTAAAGACCAACGTCCTGGCCTGTCTTCCTGCACCTGCCTACGCTCTCCCTCTCCGGTCCCGTGAGAGGGTTGAAAAGAGGCAGTGTCCTGGCCTTTTGGGGTGCATAAGGGATTGTTTGCAAGGCTGTTCTAACCTTCTCCTCCCCAGCCCGGGTCAGGCCCACTTACCGCATGTGCCGTTTTCCTTGGGGCCTGGCCCAGACTGGATGTGTCCCGGGGTGTGACAGGAGTCAGTCTGGGAGGAAGGCATGGGAAATGGTGACTCAGAGCAATATGTGGGTTCTGTGTCGGCTTAGGGTTGAGTCCTAAGAAATCTAGCCAGCTGTGGGAAGGCAGAGATTTTATTGGGGGATGTAAGCGTATGGTTGCCCCAGGTTAGGGCCTGGCCACTCAGCAGGGTGGGGGCCCGTCATTAGAAGGTGGGGGCCCGTCATTAGAAAGCCCTTTGCCAGACAGATGATGGTGTAATAACTTTTGGTTTTGCTTCTTGTTTTGTCTCTTCTTTCTCCATCACTTTTCCCTTTCTTTCTTTCTTTCTTTCTTTTTTTTTTCCTCCCCTTGGTCCTTCTTATATCCACCTGCTCCTCCTTTTGCCTTTCTTTCTCCCTGATTTTACTCTCCTGTCCCTGTCTCTTCCCCAACCTGTCCCCATTCCCTACTCCCGCCTCATTTCTTGTCCTGTACTTATGGCCTACTCAACTTCCTTCTGTTTCTGCTCCTTCCCTCTTGCCTACCTGCCTGTTTCTCCTCTATTCTCTCTCCTACCCCTCTTTGCACACTCATTTCCCACCATGCCGTGTCTTCTCATGCTGTTCCTCTCTCCTCTTCACCTTTCCCCATCCCCTTCTCCTGTATGTGTCCCTTTCTTCCTCTCTGCCCTGTCTTGCAGGGATTTGACCCTTTCCGATTCGGAGTCCTCCCTCCACATGAGTGACCGCCAGCGTGTGGCCCCCAAGCCTCCTCAGATGGTCCGTGCTGCAGACGAGGCCCTCGGTGCCATGACTTCCAATGGCAGCCACCGGCTGATTGAGGGGGTCCATCCCGGGTCTTTGGTGGAGAAACTGCCTGACAGCCCTGCCCTGGCCAAGAAGGCACTCCTGGCGCTGAACCACGGGCTGGACAAGGCCCACAGCCTGATGGAGCTGAGCCCCTCAGCCCCACCTGGTGGCTCTCCACCTTTGGATTCTTCCCGTTCTCACAGCTCCAGTTCCCCAGACCCAGACACGCCATCTCCAGTTGGGGACAGCCGAGCCCTGCAGGCTAGCCGAAATACACGCATTCCCCATCTGGCTGGCAAGAAGGCCGTGGCTGAGGAGGATAATGGCTCCATTGGCGAGGAGACAGACTCCAGCCCAGGCCGGAAGAAGTTCCCCCTCAAAATCTTTAAGAAGCCTCTTAAGAAGTAGGCAGGATGAGAGTGGCAGTGGCGGGACAGCTTGTCCTTCCCTGGTCTTCTGCCTCCCCTTCCTCCCCGTCCAAGACACCTGGCCCCTCGAGTGGGGGCCTGGGAGGGGCCGGCCCAGGGGCCTGGGCACTGTACATACCTGCCCCCCTCGTCCTTGGGTCCTTCAACATTATTTATTAACTGACCACCATGGCCTGCCTGCCCTGCCTTTCTCCCCGCCATGGGCTGCGGCTGCCACCCCGTCTCTACTTCAGTGCATGTCTTAGTTGCTGTCCCCTCAGCTCCCACCTCCACCTCTGGGGTCCAGCTTCTGTCTCTGCTGTCCCAGTTTTGAAGTTTGGTTTCTTGTTTCTCTGTTTCCTGCTTTCAGGCTCCTCCCTCCCACCACTCCCCAACTTCCCCTAGCAGCTAGGCGGGGGAGGATAGGAGTAACTTCCGACATCTGTGCCTCAGACCTGTTCCACCCCACCCACGATGGTTCTGTTTACCTCAGACTGGGGCTGAGGGCCTAATATTTGAGGTTTGTTCTTTGTTGAGTGTGGTGGGTCAGAAGGAAACTGGGCCTGGAGCTCGCTTGAGCCTCCAGGGGTTCATGGGGGACTGGAACACATTCCTAGAGAACAAGCTACTAGAGAATTTTGAAGAGAGGCTAGGCTAGGAGTTAGGTCGAGAGAGACTCCTCTTAGTTGGGGGATGAGTAGACGCCAGAGTTGTGGGCTACAGGGCAGTCACCTTTTCTCTCTCCTCTCACCTACACCTGCCTCTTTCTTAACCTTGCTCCCCCACACTGCAGGAAGGTTTGACTATAAGAGGTGCTGCCCAAGTGCTCCCCAAGCATCAGTACTCCTGGAGCTCAGACAAATGGCTTCCCTGGCCATGGGAGCCTCAGCCATGATACAGGGCTCTAATGGGGCCCTGGAGCTGTTGGGCAGGATATTGTTGCATTTGAACCAAAAAACATTTTTAAATTGAGAAAAGAAATCTCCTGAATTTCCCAAGTGCCTGCACCACATACTCCCCTTGTCAGACCCCATTTTCATGTTACTGCATAGCTTGGGCCAGAGGCTCAAAAAGGACACAGCTGGTTTAGGGAAGGGGGTGGCTGAGGAAGACAGTATAGGTGAAGGCAGCTGTCTTCCCCCCTCTTCCCCCACACCCTCCCCACCCTCCAGACAACTCTCTCCCTTTCCTGTTTTTGCTATGGCTGTAAAGGTATTTTCCTTTTGCCCCACTCCTTCCCATGCCTTTACTCTGGGATCCTCTTTTGGGCCTGGGGTGCAGGCACCTGGGGCTGGTCTTAGGAGGGTGCTAGGCTGCAGACTGCCTCATACCCCCTGGACACCCTCACATGGTTTTTCTGTGTTATTTCATAAGACTCTTTGAAGTCCAATAAAGCATGTAGGAGATTTTAACCTCTGCTGGCTTTGACTCTCATTGTGTTCTTTGTGGCACAGTAGACAGGATGAAGAAGAGACTATTTCTCCTTGGCCAAGGAAAACTGAAACTCTCTAATACACATACCCCAAAGCTCTCAGGAGAGGCTAACAGTTGAAATACAGCATGCCTGCCTGGTTAAACTTGAATTTCTGATAAAAACTTTTTTAGTGTAATTATGTCCCTGCAACATTTGGAACACATTATTTTTGTTTGCTAAATCTGACAACCCCATCTTTGGGCCATCTTTACCCTATATGGGATAGATATCACCTAGGACTTTTAGAATTACTTCACAGGGAGCTTGGGGGTGCATCTAGAGGGCAGTGAGGAACGGATGAAAGATTTTAGAAAGGGATGCCACACGAGCTTTCATGAAAATCAAGTTTGTGTCGCCCAAATCAGAAGCTTCTACGTCACTCTCGTATATTACGTCTCCTATCTATTCTTACTCCCCTCATTCAATCACCAAGCAGTGTCCATTCTGCCTCCACAAGGCCTAATTGCTGACCCTGGTTCTGCCACCATCCACTGGATAATTATAAAAGCGACTGGGCCATGGCCCTGCCCTGCTCAAAACTCTCCCAGAGCTCCCACTCCGTCAGGATACAATCAAACGCCTTGGGTTCGCAGGGCTCTCTTCCAAGGACTGACGGCCAGATGCCCTCCGTTCTAGGAGTGTGGTGCTCCCGGCTGCCTCCCGCTATGCGTCGCAGGCTATAGCCCCCATCGGATAGCAGTCGGGTTATTCTCTCTCTCTCTTTTTTAAGATTTTCTTTGACAGAGAGAGACAGCGAGAAAGGGAACACAAGCAGGGGGAGTGGGAGAGGGAGAAGCAGGGGGACTGAGCTACTCAGGCGCCCGGGTTATTATATTCTAACAGTCGTCAAGACAAGAAAGGGTTTTGGATGGTTGGGTTTTTATTTCAAAAATACCTGAACCACCTTGACTTAGGCCAGGGCCCGCCAAGGAGAGGGGCGGGGCCGGGGCTGTCGGGCTGTGCGCGCCGCGCCGGGTTCCGGCCCCAGAGTCGGCGTTGCCCACAATCAATATGGCGGCGGGAGAACCGCGTTCCCGCCGGGCGGGCCCACACCCAATGTGGCCGTTGGAAAGGCTCAGTTTCCAGGGCCCTGCCCGTACTCAACATGGCGACTACCGGGTGAGGCCGGTTTTGGGCTACGCTAGCCTGCCCACGGGCTGGGGCGCTGGCAGCGTCGAGTAAACGTCATTCGAGCTCCGTCGCGCCGCTTTTGCGTCTCGGGTGGCGGGAGCGGGAAGGGGATTCGGATTGTCGCGCCTCCGCTCCGTGGAGGAAAGTGCCCTCTGGCCCCCAAATCCAGACCTTGCACCTCAGCGCCCCCAGGAACCCGACCCTTCGCACTCTACCACCTTCTCGATCCCGCCGGCGCCTCCGAACTGCAGTCCCGTCTCGAATCCCTCAGCGCGTCAGCCACTGGCCGCGATGCATGTGATCAAGCGAGGTGAGAGGCCGGGGAGGGGCGGCGGGTTAGTGGGGAGCAGGTAAAGGGGTCGCGGGCTGCCGCCGCCCTCGCAGTTGGCGGCGCCCGCCCGCCTCCACCGCTTCCCGCCCTGCCGGCCGCTGCTTCCCGCCCTGTCAAGCCTGCTCGGCCTCTGGCTTGTTCCCCCCCCCCCCCCCCGCCCCAGCCGGCCTTCAGTGTGAGCCCCCTCGGCTTTGTCATCCTGCCGCCTTTCAAAAGAATAATACCTCCCCGTTATCGAGTAGTTACTGTGTGCGCCGAGCACTTTCCGGGCAGTATTCCTTAGCTCCGCTTCTCAGGTAAAGAATCAAGTGCAGAGAGAGGTCCGGTGACTGACGCAAGGCCACCCAGTTAGTTGATGGTGAGGCCGGGGTTGGACCCAAGGCTAACATCGGAGTGTACTGGAAACCCCTGGGGCTGGTGACCTGTCCTAGGGAGTGGGAGGAATCAGCAAGAAGGGATTCTGCCTTCAGTTTCCTGATCTCTTCTGTGGGGGTGTGGGGTGAAAAGAACAGATCTTAGCCACAGACATGCCCGGAATTTGCCCTTTGTAGGAGATATGTTTCCAGTTTTCCCCGGAGTCGTCCCCGAGGAGTTTGGGGCTGGGACTACTGATACAGAATCGGAGTAGGGAGGCCAAGACAACTTCCGACAGGATGGGGACTGGGGAGAGCCAGGGAATTGGGTTCTTCCTCAACAGTTATCTCCCATTAGACTTGCCGAGTTCGTGCTTTGTGCCAGCCCTTTGCTTGGCAGTGTGAAATTATAAGAGGAGACAGTCCCTGCCTTGGCCAAAGGTTAATCGGATTGGAAAAACAAGAGCAAAACATCCATTTAGCAGAGAACTGTAAGGCAGGTATGAACAAAGTTTGGCTTGAATCTGCTTGCCTCTGTTAAAGCAGTAAAGTTATTTCAGAATTGTAGGCGCTTAGTGCTGGTTGACTGACTGGATGTTTTGTCTACTGGGCTGTGAATATTTCAAAGATGGGGACTTTATGCCCACACTTAGCACCGGACTTGCCATGACTAAGAATTCAAAGAATGAATGAGAAAAATTATTTTAAAAAATAGGATATAATGAATGCTGTGGGTAGGCAGGTGGTTGATTTGGTTTTGTCCAGGTAGTTTGATAAAAGCCAAGAGATGGAGAAGTGGACAGTGATGGCCCTTCTTCCAGTTTTTAGTATCTTGAGAACATCATTCTCTGAATTTCCCTAGTCCTCCATTTTAGCTGAGACCAAAAGACGAGAATACATGGTTCACTTTTATTGGTCCATTCCTGTGAATGAAATGAACATCTAGTTTTTTTAGACCTTTAGAAAAAGGTATGGAAAGGGCGCCTGGGTGGCTCAGTTGGTTAGGCGACTGCCTTCGGCTCAAGTCCTGATCCTGGAGTCCCGGGATCGAGTCCCACATCGGGCTCCCTGCTCAGCGGGGAGTCTGCTTCTCCCTCTGACCCTCTTCCCTCTCGTGCTCTCTGTCTCTCATTCTCTCTCTCAAATAAATAAATAAAATCTTGAAAAAAAAAAAGAAAAGAAAAAGGTATGGAAGGATGAAGATTCCCTTATGGTAAGTCTGTAACAAATATGAATTGAAAACTTGTGAACTTAAATTACTGGAGTAGATAACACCCCTGGATTGTATTTTTAACCTTTGGGTCCACTTTGAAATACCGTAGTTTAAAAAGTACTACCTACAACAAGCTCTAAAAGGCAGGGCTTATTTTGTTTCTCATTCCTTCAGAGAACATAATTTGATCCAGGTGATTCTCTGCTAGATTCTGCCAGTGTAGCATTCAGCAGGCCTTGTTAATATACAAAGTTGTACTTGAATTTATTTTATTTTTGAAAAAAATTTTTAAAGATTTTATTTATGTATTGGAGACAGAGAGCGTGAGAGAGCACCAGCATGGAGGGGGGCGCGGGGAAGAGGTGATTTAAGATTGCAGAGGCAGACTCCACGCTGAGCTGGGAGCCTAGAGTGGGGCACAATCCCAGGACCCCGGGATCATGACCTGAGGCAAAAGCAGACGCTGAACTGACTGAGCCACTGAGGCACCCCTTATTTTTTATTTTTATTTTATTTATTTATTTAAAGATTTTATTTATTTATTTGACAGAGCAAGACACAGTGAGAGAGGGAACACAAGCAGGGGGAGTGGGAGAGGGAGAAGCAGGCTTCCCGCGGAGCAGGGAGCTCGATGTGGGGCTCGATCCCAGGACCCTGGGATCATGACCTGAGCCGGAGGCAGACACTTAACGACTGAGCCACCCAGGCGCCCCTATTTTTGATTTTTAATGTGCTCAGGGTTTTTCTTTTTCTCTTATTTTTGGCATGCCAATGAGTAGCAGAGTAGCTTTTGTCATCTTTTGTTAATTTTAATGGAATTATCCAGGAGGGCAACTGGCAGTCAACCTGACTTGTACAGTAGTTCTCCCCCTCTTATTCAGGGTTTTGCTTTCCACTGTTCCAGTTACTAGCCTAACTCTACATCATAGTGCCTGTGTCATTCACCTCACTTCATGTCATCACATGGCAATTTATCATCTCACATCATCACAAGAAGGGTGAATACAATACCACAATATAGTTTGAGAGAAAGAGAGACCACATTCACATAACTTTTATTGTAGTATATGGTTATAGTAGTTCTGTTTTTTTATTGGTTATTGTTTATCTCTTAATGTGCCTAATTTATAAATTAAACTTTATCATAGGTATGTATGTAGAGGAAAAAACGGTATATATAGGGTTTAGTACTTTCTGTAGGCATACACTGGGGGTCTTGGAATGTATCCCCTGCTGCTAAGGGGGTACTACTCTACTTACTGAATGTGCTTATATCTTGCTAAGCACTCTGAAGGAAATAATAGAGGAAGAAGGCCCTTCATCTTCAGAGATCTTAGGATTGTTAGAGACATAGGAATAATCCATATGAAAATTGTTAGATAACAGAAGGAAATAGTAGATGAGTTTTTCTCTTGCTATCTTCAGATATTTTTCCTGATGGGAGAGTATTGTATTGCTCCAGGAGATTAAGGTTCAAGAATAAAAATTGAGAACCATTGCAATAAATTCAGTGTAGCTAACTGAGTTGTAAAGTGTGCTTTGGATTATAGTATATGGTTTTCAAAACTTTGGGTCATTACCCAACCCACAGTAAAAATTATATTTTACATCATGACTGAGAACATACCAGTGTATATGTATGTGTGTGTGTGTATAAATTTTCATAAAATGAAATGAACATTTTCAAAATAATTCCTTTTAGAGCATCCATTTGTACTCTGGTAATCTCCTATTCCAAATCTGTTCTCTAGCTTTTCCTCTCTTTTCCCTTTTCTCCCTCCCTACTTCCTAATCCCCTTTACAGCCCACTGTATTTTTTTACAAATCTGTGTGGATATTCTCTTGGCATTGAGAAACAGTGGTGAGGAGGCAGACATGGTTCCTGTTTTCAAAGATCTTAATCAATTGCGAAAG